CCATCCACACTCATCCAGAGCCATCCATACACATCCAGAGCCATCCACCTGCACCCAGAGCTCCTGGTGGGGCTTCAGAGATGGTGAACACACAGAGGAGCAAGTTTCAAAACGCTTCCCAGCTCTGAGACACGTCTGTCCCCTCACCTCGGTCCTTCCCGTTCTGCAGCTTCCCTGTTTCTTCTTCGTCTTCTTCCTCTGCTTCAGGAAGAAAAGAAAAGAAAAAAAGCTGACAGGAGACAGGTGGGTGAGAGAAGAGAGAGAATCATGGAATGGTTTGGGTTGGAAAAGCCGTCCCAGACCACTGAGTCCAACCATCCCCCAGCACTGCCAGACCACCACTAACCCACGTCCCCAAGCGCCACATCCACGTGCCTTTTAAGTCCCTCCAGGGATGGGGACTCCACCACCTCCTTGGACATCTCCTTACAGTGCCTGACAACCCTTCCCATGAAGGAATTCCTCCTGGATTTCACTGGTTTCGTGGTGAGAGCTGGGGGTTGGTTGTGTTTAACTGGGGATAAGCAGAGTGAGTTTATGGCCAGGCCTGTATTTGCACAGCAGAGCGGGAGCAGGAGGTCACACTCTTCCCCAGGTGGTGGCTCTTCTCTTGTTTCAATGAGACCAGTGCAAACAGGTGATGGTTGTCCTGAGGGAGATGTGGCTTCTGCCTCCACACATGGTGCAGGAGAGCAAAGAAAGGGAGAAACCCTCCAGTGAGAGGCACAACTGGAGGTGTTGGGAATGCATCCGGTCCAAGGGACCTGATAAACGTTTATACACGTGTCCTTTGTGGCTTTGAGAGCAGGATGGTGAGACAGGGGGGTCACACAGCCCGTGCCCACTCGGCAATGGCTGCAGGGGGTCCTTAATGAGAGAGCCAAGGGGAGCAGGGACAAAACCAAATGCATTTGGAATAACCAGGGGTGTGACCTGGAGCTCAGTGTTGGGTCTTGGACTCGCCTCCTGCGTGAAGACCAGCAGGTTCAGACAGAGTAAAAACGGGATCAGTGTTCCCTCAGAAGCACAGGGAGCATGAGATGATTACTGGGTGGATTATTGTGTGGCACTTGGGGACATGGGTTAGTGACAGCCTCAGCAGTGCTGGGGGAACAGCTGGACTTGAGGGTCTTGGAGATCTTCTTCAACCTCAGTGATTTTGTGATTCCATAATTCTGTGACTCCAGGATTCTATCCCAGAATCTCCTGAATAGGGAGGGACCCCCAAGGATCATCCAGTCCAACCTCTGGCCCTGCAGAGACACCCCAACAATCCCACCCTGTCCCTCAGAGCGTTGTCCAAACCCTCCCTGAGCTCTGGCAGCCTTGGGGCCGTGCCCATTCCCTGGGGAGCCTGTTCAGTGCCAACCACCCTCTGGGGGAGGAACCTTTCCCTGAGATCCCACCTAACCCTGCCCTGACATCACTGCAGGAGAAGGCAGGAGAGGCCGATCAAAACATCCCAGGAAGCCTCCCAAGGATGGGGTGACACTGCAGTGTCCCCCTTCCAAGAGAATCTGTTCCCTGGGCTGGAGCAGAGGCACCAGAGGCACACAGAGGGTGGGAGGTGCAGGCACTGGTGTCTCCCAGCCCCTCCCCACACACCTGCTGGGGCTGCACGGGGGAGCTGGGCCGGGGGAGGTGTCTGTTCCCACAGCTCACCTCCGGGACAGGATGTGTGAAATCCCGCTGGCTCTGTCAGCTGAGGATAACTCATGCTTTTCCTAATTTACACAACCACTTCAGACATTTCAGGGGAGCCTCCCTTGGTCTCTGCATCTCCTCGAGCAGGGGCCTGTCAGTACCTCCATTTTCACTCCACTCTCACCCCCTCGTGATCCACAGGGCTTTGCACGTCCCTGACACGGCTGGGACAGTGACAGGACCCAGGGGAACAGCTGGAGCTGTGCCAGGGAGGGTTAGGCTGGATTTAGGGACAAGGTTCCTCCCCCAGAGGGTGGTTGGCACTGAACAGGCTCCCCAGGGAATGGGCACAGCCCCAAGGCTGCCAGAGCTCAGGGAGGGTTTGGACAACGCTCTGAGGGACAGGGGGGGATTGTTGGGGTGTCCTGGGCAGGGCCAGGGGTTGGACTGGATGATCCCTGTGGATCCAACTCAGGATATCCCACAATTCCATGATTCTACAACACCTGCTCTGCTATGGGAAACAAAAAAAAATCAAAGACTGCAGAGTCTGCTCTGGGCAGGGGGTTTGTTCTCTGTGTTTCAGCCCCGGGGGAAGAGCTGAGGTGATTTATGGGAGGAACAGGCGGCCCTGCCATGGCACTGGCGGTGCTGCTGTCAACTATGGACAACTTTATTAACTCCCAGCTGCCTCCACAGCCAGGACACGGGGCTGGAGAGGGGGAATTTACTGCTGGGCAGTAAAACATCAGCCCTTTTTATCACTGTGACGGCTCCATCACGGGCAGAGCCTCGTGGGGTCTGTCACGGACTGGGAGGAGCTGAGGGGGGGACTGTGTGACACAAGTGTGGGTCCAGCCCAGGGCTGGGGGAGGTGGAACAGGGGCCAGGAGGGTCCCTCTGGACACACAACACCTTCCTTCTTCCTTAACAGCAAAGGCAGCCCAGGAACAGAATCCCAGGAGCATTTAGGTTGGAAAAAGCCCTCATGGATCATCAAGTCCAACCTGTGACTGATCCCCCCACCTTTTCAACCAGACCAGTGCCATGTCCGGCCATTCCTCGGACCCCTCCAGGGCTGGGCACTCCAAACCTCCCTGAGCAGCCCCTTCCAGTGCCTGACCACCCTTTCCATGAAGAAATTCCTCCTGAAACAGGCTGCTGGAGCACTAAATGGCCACACCTCCATTGCTGACAGGCCCGAGGCCCACAGGACACGTCCCTCGGTGACGCAGGACCTGCTCTGGCCCCACCAGGGAGTTCAGCTCCCCTGGCACAGAGGGAATAATTATCTGCTTTCCACGTCGATGTTCAATAACAAGGGATGCAATTGGCCTCGTGTGCATTTTATAAACGTGGTTACAGTGTCTGACAAGGATTCATGGCAGAGGGTCTCACCTCTGCCCAAGTATTGCAGGGCTAAGCAGGGATTTGGGGACACTCCAAAAATCTGCTCCACCTTCTGACTGTGTCATTAACGGGCTCTGGCTTCCAGAAGTGGGACTGGGAGGGGGCCCCTCTCCCAGGAGATGCTCTGGAAAAGCAGCTCCATGCTGTGATCCACGCTCTGATCAATGGGAGCAGCAGGGAGGGGACGGGGGCTGTCTCCATGGTGCCACTGGTGATACCCCAGGGCTGTATGCGCAGGGTACTGCCCTCCCCACCAGGGATAAAACCGATGGGAAGTCTCTTCAGAAGGTGTTGGAGTTCTCAGTGATAAAACCATGGAATGACTGAGGTTGGAAAAGCCCTCCAAGGTCATCGAGCCCATTCCCAGCACTGCCCAGGCCGAGGGTGTTGGCTACAAAAATGATTTTTCATTGAGAACACAGACACATAACCTCAGATTATGCTTCAGTTTTAACAAAAAAATCTCCAGCCTGTGGCTTCCATTTCTCTTCTTCCTGTGCTGCTGAATCTTACCTGAGTGAAGCTCCTTCACCAGCGAGGACATGGTGTTGGTGATGGAATCGGCCGCCACCAGCAGGTCATTGCGGAGGTTCCTCCTCGTACCTGGGGCAGAGCAGACACACAGAAGTCAGGAATCACCTGTGCCAGCTGCCACTGCCCCAACTCCTCACGTCACCGCGCTCGGCTTCACCGGTCCCCACGAGGTCCCCCCGGGGTGGTGCTGGGACACCCCCAGGGCCACCAAAGCAGCAGAGATGGGGATTTGCCCTGGCACAGCCCAGCTCTGCCTCATTCCTCTGCCTCATGCTCCTCTCTATGGCATGGCAGCACAAGGGCACAGACAGCCCCCCCGTGACCGGGGCCATGGGGTGGCTCATCCTCCTCCTCCTCCTCCTCCTCTGGGCAGAGTCACTCTCGACATCACTGAGGTTTGAGTGGGATAAAAGCTATTGGAGTTGTCACCCTCCTGCAGGGCTGGAGGAAGGAATCCTTTTCCTCAGTGTCACACAGCTGGGGGACTGGCCCTGTGTGATGCTTGTTGCCTCCTGTGATGCTGGGAACCCAGGGATCCTCTCGGATCACGGCGGTGGCTGCCCCATCCCTGGAAGTGTTCAAGGCCAGGCTGGATGGGGCTGGGACCAGCCTGGTCTCATGTTCCCCTGGTGGAACAGCTGGATATGATCCCCCCTGGACACCCCTGGGCAGCAGCCCCTGGAGCCCTCCTGGCTGGGACTTTCAATTATTTTATTATGTGAAAACATCGCTATTTTATCCTGTTTCCTGTGTTCTCCACTGGCCTCGGATTTGCCTGATTTTGCGTGATTAATATGAAATAGCACTAATTGTGCAGACTGCCTTTCCGGAAGGATCATTCCAGGAAACTTATTACAGAGTCTGGAGACCACTTTTTTTTTTTTTTTCCTTGGAAGAGTTTTTCTAGTCATTGAATCAGCCACCACTGTGGTTATGAGGAGAGGAGTGTCCACCTTTCTGGTGGCAGCAGTGGATCCAAGAATTCCCAAGGGATTGTTTTCTTCTTTGTTGAGATGATCAACAGCAGAATTGATTTTATAACTTGATGGCAGCCAGAAACTACCAGGATGTTTTATCATAATACTGTCACACTTGGTGATCTCCAAACATCAATCTTGGTAATCCTCTACTAAGTGGAAGATCAAGAGATCACCTATGGAGGAAACTTTTCTAACCTCAAAACTGCCTGATGAAGATCACTGGGATCCAATCCTTCAAAGGTTTCCTGCTCTAGAATTTTCCACACTGATGGGGAAGCTCACAGATCTGTGCCCTGGGAGGAAAGATGAGCTGCTGGCTTCTCTGCCCACTCCAAGGTCACAGAAGAGGTGGAACAGCACCCAGAGCTTCACTCCCTTCTGCTCCTCTCTCCCACTGTCACATTTAATAAGAATCTGGTGGATATGCGAAAGTTAGCATAAATAATGTCAATGTTTTTGTTAAAATGGCCCATAAAATCCGTGCACTGAGGGATGTCTGTGGATTTGTTGTTCCAGTCCCCACCGTGCTGCCGGGACGTGGCTGCAGCACGTCGGCCCAGCCCTGAATAGTTTTCTACAACACCTGGTTCGTTGCAAGGCATATTTGAGAGGCTGTCAGGTGTTAAAAACCTGGAGAAACCACAAGTTTTCACTCTGGGCGATATCGGCAGGTCCCGACGAAGGAGCGTCGTTAGGGGAGAGGCAGCTACGAGCCCTTGATTAATGACATCAGCTTGAGCCAGGAAGGCTCTGGTGGCTGCAGGGAGGGGTTTGCCTTGCCATGGCTTTCCCAGGAAAAGGCAGATGGGTACAGAGCAAATGGGGATGCCCAGGGAAGGCTGGAAAACGATGGGAGATCCGGCATTTTCACGTCCTGCCATCCTCACGTGGTTGTTACTCCCAGCAGCAGATCAGTGCCTGGTCAGGCTCACGGTGCTGCTGCTCCACTTCACATCCTGGGGGAAGGAAGGGATCCTGCACGGGGGGAAGGACAGGCAGCTGCCAAAGGAATCAACGGAGAGCTCTGGGCTGCACCACCAAACTTGCTGTGGAGATGAAGAGGAGGCGACTGGACCACCCACAGCAACAGATGGAGCGCTCGCCTCTGGTATTTGGCACCCTGCCTCCCTGGAAATGCCTGCTCTGCTCTCGGTGCTGGGAGTGCTCGCAGATGAGGAGCTTGTTCCTACTGATGGGACGAGGAAAAGGCACCTCCTCCTCCCAGAGGGGCCGTAGATCTTGGAGAGGACGTCCCCCATCACCGGCCAGAGCTCTGGCGAACGCGCAGCGGCCGCTCCTCCCTGTGCTGAGGGCTCTGGGGCTGAGGGCTCCCGGCCCTCACTGCAGCACCAATTTAACACCAGTTCAATGTGTTCACTGGCACCAGCTGAAAGTGTTCACTGACACTCCTGCTCCTCTGCTGCCATTTCACAGCCTCTTCCCTCACCTTCTGCTCGCAGCAGCTCCTTTGGGCAAAGGGGGAGATCATTCCAGATCACTCCAGGAGGATATATCCACCGAGCACCTGACAAATGCAGACTGCTATTTAAAATCTGTTTGGTTTGGAGATGCAGTGTCAGTTCTGGGAGGTTTATTTCCATGTTTGGTTTGTTTGGAGAGGGAGTCCATCCATCTGACAAAGGGATTTGATGCTTCTATTCACAATCTTCCCTCCCAGGAATGAGAAGCCACCTCCAGCTCCGTGACTCCACATGAGGTGACCTGTCATCTTTCAAAGGCATAAACCACCTCTGCATCGAGGTGAAGGCTCTTGTTCACTGCACGGGACTGACCACAACTCCTGATATCCAGTGGGATTTCCCAGGAAGCACCATGAGGTCCACAGGAAGAATCAGAGAATCATTAAGGCTGGAAAAGACCTCCAAGACTGAGTCCAACTTGTGTTGGTTGCTGCCCACCCCTTGGCTTTGCCCACACAGGGGTGAAGTCCTCACCCCTGCTTTAGGGAGAGGTGGATTTTCTGTCCTTCTTTCTTTCACTGTCACTGACAAGAACAACAAAGATGAGTGGATGTCCACTTTCAAAGATGTGATGTTTAGAAGAACCATCACAGAATAGGATGTCAGAATAGGATGACCAGGCCCTGCTGCTGTTTTTCTCACAGCTCCAACTCCCAGGATGCTCCTGGAGCACAAAAGATGAAGAGTTCTGGACCAAGATGGGCAAAAGGAGAGAAAAGAGTGTTTAAACCCCAAGTGCCAGCACTGAGAAATGCAGGGTGTGGGCACCCCTTCCAGCTGGGGGGGGCTTCCTTCACCAGGAGTGGAGCTGAAATAGGTAGGACTGAAGAGTGACCAATTCCCCCTCCTTTGCAGTGAAATGGTCACTGAAGGGAACACAATATTTGCCAAGTTTCTTGACACCAGACTGGCAGTCCCATCTTTGCTTGCTGCCTCCTGGCATCGCCACGGCCAAACCTCTTCCGTGTTTGAGGCAGGGGCAGTGTCTGCACCGAGCTCAGCAAGCGTCCACCTCATCTGCTTGTCTTCGTATTTTGGACCCCCTGTGAGCTGACACAGCTGTGACGTGGAAAACGTGGATTTTCTTGAAACTTGTGACTGTAAAACTTCTTTATGTTTAAAAGTAAGAGCAGCAGGTGAGTCTGAACTCCCGCTGCCCACAGAGGGTGGGGCTGAAAAAACATCTGCCCACTGCTGCTGTTGGCTAAACACTCTGGATTGCTGGGCTGCTTGTTTGCCTCTTTTCAGTCATTAAACTACTTTTTTCCTCATAGTTCAGTCACCAGATTTGTAAATACGACCAGTTTGTAATGTTTAATTCTTAAACTACTTGTGGGCGTAACTTGCTGGGTTGGAAGATCCTTTCCTTGCAGGGAAGATCATCCTCACAGCAATAACTTAATGAAGTCCAAAATATGCCCCCAAAGTCTTTGGTCTGGGGAACAGGAAAGGGCTCTGTAATTATTGTCTCAATATGGTGAGTTCTGTGTCTGTTGAACACGGAATCATGGAATGGTTTGGGTGGGAAGGGACATCCAGTTCCAACCCCTTCCAGGACAACTTTCACCAGCCCTGGTTGCTCCAAGCCCCGTCCAACCTGGCCTTGGACACTCCCAGGGATGCAGGGGCAGCCACAGCTTCTCTGGGCAACCTGTGCCAGGGCCTGCCCACCCTCCCAGGGAAGGGTTTCTCCCCGATATCCGAGGTGCATCCCCGTCTCCTGCGATGCCACGGGGTTGGACACGGCCGTGCCCCGGGGGACACTCAGATCCTCACCTTGTGTGAAGGCCTCTGTTCAGATCCTCACCTTGTGTGAAGGCCTCCTGCACGTCCCCCCCGACTCCAGCGAGCGCGTCCTGCGGGCCGTGGGTGGGGGTGGACCCGGCGGAGCTGGATCTGACGGGCATCGGGATGGGGCGGCCGTGGGTGGGCGAGGGCTGAGCCGAGCCCGCCGCCTGCGCCTGCCGGGAGACACCACACACACCTCCCACGTTACACACTTGGCTCTCTCTCTCTCTCCTCTCCTCTCTCTCTTTTTTTTTTTTTTTTGGGGGGGGTCAATGGCTAAAAATAATTCTGCAAAAACAAACAAACAAACAAACGAAAAGGGACGTGCAAGGGAAGGCTCTTCCCCAAAAACGCTCTCGGTCTGAGTGAGGATGTGATGTATGAGCGGGGGGTGCCGTGGGAGGGCCTTGTGGTGGAGGCACAGTGGGTGCAGCACTTCATTGATTCATTTCAATGCATTTTAATAAATTTGGATACTTTAATGTATTTTGTTTTCATAATTTCACACGTTTCACGTTTTAAGCATTTATACATGTTACGTATGTATTTTATGCATTTTTATATATTTTATTTATTTTAATGGATATTACGTATTTTTAATGGATATTATGTATTTTTATATTTTATATATCTTTATTTAACCTTACTTATTTCTAACCTAGTGAATTTTATTTTAGGTTTTTCTTCCAGCCCAACCCACCCCATCTCTGCTGTGCCACTCCAAGAGCCTCAAGAGCAGCTTTGCTCCAGGGGTGCCAGTCCCTGATACAGCTTCTGGTGCCCTCCCTACTCAGTGGCCAGGGACAGCCCCAAGGGTCTGTCAGGTGCTGCCTATGGACTCAAATCCCACTGGATTTCACACCAAATCCCAAACATACACAGAACCACTGAAGGCTCAGAGGGAACTTGTGCAATATTCACTCTGGAAAGCTCCCACTGGCTGCCAAGTTTCTGCCCCAGTAAAGCCTCCAGAGCTCGACTAAGGGTTGGGCACTGGTGTGATGAGCAGGGGAAGGAGAGGGACTGTTGTGAGGAAAAGGGAAGTACAGGAGAGGACAGAAATGGGCTTATTGGCTCTGTGTTTAAAAAAAATATGAGCTCAGTTATGTCCTCAGTGTGTGGTGCCCACGGGAGAGAATGAGAAGCACCCACCAAGTGATGCCCCTTGCTGGGCATTTAAGGACCTTTACAAAGAGACTCACAGGATTCCAGAATGGTTTGGGTGGGAAGGGACCTCAAACCTCATCCAGTGCCACCCCCTGCCATGGGCAGGGACACCTCCCACCAGCCCAGGTTGCTCCAAGCCCCATCCAACCTGGCCTGGGACACTTCCAGGGATCCAGGGGCAGCCACAGCTTCTCTGCCCAACCTGTGCCAGGGCCTGCCCACCCTCACAGCCAACAATTCCTTCCCAATCTCCCATCTGTCCCTGCCCTCTGGCAGTGGGAAACCATTCCCTGTGTCCTGTCCCTCCATGCCTTGTCCCCAGTCCCTCTCCAGCTCTCCTGGAGCCCCTTTAGGCCCTGGAAGGGGCTCTCGGGTCTCCCTGGATCCTTCTCTTCCCCAGGTGAGCCCTCTCAGCTCTCCCAGCCTGGCTCCCACTGTTCCTGGCTGTGCTGCCGGGGGTTCATGACCTGTGACTGTGTTTATATTTTTATTTAAGTGATGTCCCCACACTGCCACCAAGCAAAGGCACCACCTGCTCCTCACCCGCCGGGGACTGAGGGCACGGAGCCTCCCAACCCCTCAGAGCCCCCGAGGAGTCTGTGCCTTTGGTTTTGTGGCCTTTTCTAAGCCTGCTCATGGTTTGCTCCCTGTGACGTGCAGCAGTTACCGGGGCAACACGGCTGGCACAGTGGGGACTGTGTGGTGACACTGCCAGCACCACGTCCAGCGGTGACACTGCCAGGACCCTGAGTGTGGTGACACTGCCAGGACCCTGAGTGTGGTGACACTGCCAGCACCACGTCCAGCGGTGACACTGCCAGCACCCTGAGTGTGGTGACACTGCCAGGACCCTGAGTGTGGTGACACTGCCAGGACCCTCAGTGTGGTGACACAGACAAGGACCCTGTATAATGGTGACACTGCCAGGACCCTGTGCAAGGTGACACCCCTGACACCCTTCACAGCAGTGGCACCCACAGCACCCTGTGCCTGGTGACACTGCCAGCACCCCCTGCGACGGTGACACCACCAGCACCCTGCACAGAGGTGCCACCTCCAGCATCTCCACCAGTGCTGACACCCCAGCACCCCGAGCAATGGTGACACCACCAGCACCCCACACAGAGGTGACACTGCCAGCACTCTGTGCAGGGGTGATGCTGCCAGCATCCCACGATGACACTCCTGGCACCTCGCTAACAGTCACACAGCCAGCCCTTCCAGTGGTGACACCATCAGTGCCACATAGAGTGGTGACACCACCAGCACGCTGCTAATGGTGACACCACCATTACTATGCTAACAGTGACACCACCATCACCTCCCTAACAGTGACACCACCATCACCCCCCTAACGGTGACACCACCATCACCCCCCTAACGGTGACACCACCATCACCCCCCTGACGGTGACACCACCATCACCCCCCTGACGGTGACACCACCATCACCCTGTGACGCTCCCACGGGAGCTCCCAGGGCTGAGATGCTGCTCAGAGTGGACGCAGCTCCAGCTCATCCCCCACTCCCTGCCAGCCCTGAGTCGGTATCTGTAGTAACACGAAAACCCAGCCGTGTGGAAAATTGTCATTTTGAAACTGCATTAATTAATCGGGGATTGAAAGGCGTGAGTGACGTGTCCTTGTGGCACAGCGTCGGAAAGGGACGGGGCTGCAGGAGGGAAACGGCACCTTTCCACGGAAAAATCTTCCAAAAATGCACGTGTCACACCAGCAGCTTCTGTTCCCTGCACCAAAACCTCAATCTGAACCCTAAAAAAAACCACCTGAAAATACCCAGGAAGAGGCAGGAGTGTCTGAATTGGATTAAATCTGTGACAGAAAATACCCACCCCTCGTGCTCCCAGCGCAGCCTGTGAGACATGGCAGGGACAGTGGCTCCTTCCTTCTCCTCCTCCTCCCAGACTGAGCCTAAGCAGTCAGCCAGGGAAGGAGAAACAACCCATGAAGGTGGAAAACCAGGAGGAAACACGGGGCTAACACCTGCACTGAGACAGGCTGAGGAACCAGAGCTCCCCTTTCCCCAGGAGGGAGCCAGAGGAGGGGGTGGGAATATTTCCTGGGCTGAATATTTTATGCCTTGCAGCTCGTTCCCCGGGTCACATCTCCTGCCCTGGGACCTCAGCACGTGTCCCTGGTAACCACTGGAGACCTATGGACAGTGGCAGGTGTGAGGAAAGGAAAAGCCACAGATTTTGTTACTTGGAATCCCAGAATTCCTGAGGTTGGAAAAGCCCTCCCAGCTCATGGATCCTCCTCGTGCCCGATGCCCACCCAGCCCAGAGCACTGAGTGCCACGGCCAGGCCTGCCTGGGACACCTCCAGGGCTGGGCACTCCAAACCTCCCTGGGCAGCCCCTGCCAGGGCCTGACCACCCTTTCAGGTGGGAAGGGTCTCAGTGCTGGCTCCAGGCCCCACAACACATCTCCCTAAACTGTGAGGGGACAGATTTTACCCTTTGGGACAAACACATCCCCACACTGGCCCATGGTGGGTTTTGCAGATCACAGAATCCCAGAATGGTTTGGGTGGGAAGGGACCTTAAACCTCATCCAGTGCCACCCCTGCCACGGGCAGGGACAGCTCCCACCAGCCCAGGTTGCTCCAAGCCCCGTCCAGCCTGGCCTGGGACACTGCCAGGGATCCAGAGGCAGCCACAGCTTCTCTGCCCAACCTGTGCCAGGGCCTGCCCACCCTCAGAGCCACAAATTCCTTCCCAATATCCCATCTAACCCTGCCCTCTGGCAGTGGGAAGTCATTCCCTCATGTCCTGGCATTATGTCCTTGGACCAAGGGGACACCTGGACCCCAGCAATGCCCATCCTGGTGGGCTGGCAGTGCCCACACCCCCTCCACAGGCTCTTCAGTCCTGGGCAAGAGGAAATACTTTGTCACCGACACTCCTCTTTGAGACACGCTGTCTGCATTTATATTCTTAGAGAAACACGTGAATTTTTCATTTTAATTCCTTTTGAGCCGCTGGGCAGCAGCTGGCTGGGCCCATTTGCATCCCACGGCCAGCGGGGAGGAGGGGATGTCCCTCACCCACCCCGTGACGCGGCCTCTGGAAAACACAGTGATTCTGAGAACACCTCGTGAGGTCACATCGTGGCACAGCATGATGGGGATGGGGCAGGGCTGTGCTCCCTGCTCCCCTCTCCTCGCTCCGGGGCCCCACACGACTCGCCCCGACGCGCTCGGGGCTCGAAGGAGGATCCGAAAATTGTCGCTTCAGTGAAGACCTGACAATCACCCTCATGAGAAACACGTGCTGGCCCTGGGGCTGCCAGCTGGAACCGTGGTGGCAGCTCCCAGGCCAGGACCCCACCGGCTCTGGCTGCTGCACTGGGACCCCTCCAGCTCCTGAGCTGACAAAGCAGCTCCAACACTGGCACTGCTCAAAGCACAGGGAGGACAACACGTTGTACATCAGTGCAGCCAAAATCACAGAATTGTGGAATCACAGAATTGTTTGGGTTGGAAAAAAATCTCTCAGGCCATCGAGTCCAAAACTGTTCCCCCAGCACTGCAAGGCCACCACTAGCCCATGTCACCAAGTGCCACCTCCACGTGGCTTTTAATCCCTCCATGGTTGGGGACTCCACCCCTGCCCTGGGCAGCTGTGCCAGGGCTGGGCAGCCCTTTCCATGAAGGAATGTTCCCTAATATCCAACCTAAACCTCACCTACAGCAACTTGAGGGTTTCCTCTTTTCCTGTCACTTGTTGCCTGGGAAAGGACACCAAGGCCAAATGCCACGGTCTGAGCTACACCTGCACATCCACGTGGCACTTGCAGGGGCTGTTACAAAGCTCTCCAATTCCTCATCTCTAGGAGGAAGGAAATAACCCAATCTCCTTATGGATGATGCCTTGGGGAATGTCTCTGAAGCCACAATTCCCAGAGACAGCCATGTGTCTCGTGACACAACACCTGAGCAGGTCCAGGATGTGACAGGAGCCTCGCTGGGCTGAAAGGAGAACTGAG